TAAACTGTATGGCCGTGGCAGGCTTCTTGCTAACTGTTCTTATAGCTTAAATTAACCCATTTCTATAAATCTATACCTTGCCAAGTGGCTGGTGGCTTACCAGCGTCTTTATATGCTGCTTGTCCTGGCAGTGGCTGCAGTGTCTCTCCTTCCTTCTTCCTGTTTCCCCAATTCTCCTCTCTCTTTGTCCCGCCTATACTTCCTCCCTGGTCACTGGCCATCAGTGTTTTATTTATATAGAGTGATATCCACAGCACCCCACTGGTGGAGAGCAGGCCACCCAGGGCCTCTAACTTCTGAAGATCAGGCACACTCCTGCCTACTTCTGCTGGGCCCTCAGTGCAAGAAGCAAACCACAGGCATTCAAGAGAAGAAGGCCACCAGTCTGCTGCAGCCTGGGCTACAGCCATGACAGGTGACAGTTTTATTCTACAGGAGGTCCTGGGGCAGACCTCAGCCAGCTCACACTGAAGGCAACTGGGAGTACAGGAAGGCAGTAGATAGAAACAAAACAAAGTCAGCAGGGATCTGGATGAGGAGGGAAAGACCAGCTGAACCAGCTCTAGGCCCAGACTGGCCAGGGTAGAGCCCAGAGTGACAGGCAGGACCCTCTACCCCTCCCCAGGTCAGACCCAGCTTAGAGGAAGTAGTTGTGACAATCATGGGCGACCAGGTTCCAGGCTTGGTCAAATGCCTCCACGACAGCCGCCTCCAGGGGCCCTTCTTCAGTGGCGGCCAAGTTTTGTTCCAGTTGCTGCAGGCTGGACATGCCCAGAATCACTGCATCCCCATGGGCGCCCTGCAAGGGAGATACAGATTCCAGCACACATCTGCCACCCCATGGCTCCCATCACCCATCCCTTCCTGTCTATGGCTTGCTGAGAGGTGAGATTGCTAAGATTTCACTTAAGTATTGCTTCTGGGAGAAATAACCACTGCCTTCACACAGCCAGTGTCCTTCAGGCTCCTCTACCCCACAGGACAGGTTGGGAAACACTAAGCTTCAGGCCTGAGGTTTACCAGGTACTAAAGGGGCACATTACCCCAGTATGCCCACACTGGAGAAAGGGGTTAGGGGGAGGATGTGGGGACAGCAGGCAGAGAGGAAATACTCGCAGGGACACAGAAATGATTTCTCTCTCCAGGGAGTGCTGGAAGTGATGAAATAAGTACTTTTTTTTAAATGTATTTTTCAGAGTCAAATCTATGCTTACTTCCCACAACATGGAGCAGTGGGACTTTAGCAAGTAAAGTGGCCTCACTGAACCAATTTCAACATAGGAAAATTGAGATCATTAGACCTGGAGGGATGGCTTAACTGTTAGAAGCAGTTTCTGCTCTCGAAAAAGACCTGGATTCAGTTTCCAGCACCCACATGGTGCTAGGTCACAACCAACTGTAACTACAGTTCCAGGGGATGTGCCACCCTCTTCTGGCTTCTGTGGGCACTATGTGAACATGGTGCCCATCACACAAAACACTCATCCAGACAAAATAAAAATAACTAGATCTTAAGGGAAAAAATCAAGATGACTGACTTCACACAGCCATTGTAACAGTGAGGTGAGCCAGCACTAACATGGGTCACCACCCTGGGAGAAGCTGGACCACAGACAATGTCGCCGCAGCAGGAGCCCACTACCACTTCCATGCCTCCCCTCGCCCCATCCCACTTCACAGCAGAGGCTGAGCAGCCAGGACCTGCTGGGCTACCTTGAGCTGTGAGTGATGGTATATCCATCGAAAGGTGGCCGAGGTCATGCTAGGGGTGCTGGTGCCATAGGTGGACTTCAGAGCCTTCTCCACCAGGGCGATGCCCTTGAAGTGTTCCTCCTTCCAGTACCTGAATGGGTCGGGGAGAGACATGGAAGTCAGTGTCTTGGGGCAGTCAGGATCCTCAGGCAGAGCCCTGCCCCTTCAGCATCAGAACACACAAGTCTCCAGGCCTCTTGCCAGGTCAAGGATGGACACAGAGGACAAGAATCTGGTACTTTACGTGCTCACCAAACATTACAATCCAGCTCCCTCAATGAGGACTCTCAGCTGCCACCAGCACCACATGTGAGCGCTGAGTCACAGAAAA